ATCACATACCTGCCAATGGGCCATGGCAAACCAGCAACCAAGGTCACCCTCTACAACACGTACTACTCCCCGCACCTAGCATTTATGCTAATATCAGTCAGCTGTCTTGATACAGCAGGCTATTCACTTACAGTTGAAGACGGAAACTGTTATATCAAAACCCTGAAACCCGACAGACACGTTGATATGCCTGGTATCAGGCTACCCATAGATTTTGCGATTTTACATCAGTTTATGCAATCTACAAGCGGTACAGAGAGCAACAGTGGAGGCTTCATGCTGGTAGCTAAATACTACATAAAGAATGAAAGCACGGCAGTACAGAACGGACTTAGAAACGACATCTCAAAGAGTCAATTCTACCAGCCGTCAACACGCCAAGCTAAGCCCTACCTAAACAAGACTATTACAGTCAAATCTCGGGGACTTGTCTGTATGGAGTATAAAAACCAAGAAGTTGAAGAATGGAATGAACTAGATGCCTCGTCGCCTCGACGAGTAGAAAGAACCTGTCAAGAAAAATTGCTAAGTCAAGAAACAGATCAGCTTTCGAGATCAACTCAGGCTAGGGAAGGAATAACCTTGGAAGAATGAATAGCCATATTGGGTACCAAGATGACCGACCTTGATTGCGCAGTGATCAACAGAATATAATCTCGGACCTGCAGCTGATTGCGATCGGTGGTTACATCCTTGAGATCCTGTGCAGACTGCAGTATTCAATACATACGGCATGCAGCAAGCCTTGCAGATGGAAGAAGGAGCACCCACGGACCAGTAGGGCACTCCTCAGTGACAGAATAACCCGGCGCAGTCACATCGAACTGAATAGAAACTATGGAATGGCATGATACTTGTAGGATAGTGACTCACTGTTTGTATTAATTCCAAAGCTCGTACCATAATTACTGTAGATACGGGCTCCTATACCTAGAACACAAATCGTATAAATTAGCAGTGACTAGATGCATAACGGAAGGAAAGCATTCCCCCGTGTTTGTGCTAGTAGCCTGTATAGCTACCTAATCAATCACTGGTTTTATTGCATATCCTCGACTGAAGTGAATTAAGTTACCAAAGTCAACCCATAAGGGTGACTACAGTAATCTAGAAGAGTTAAATAGGAAGTAGAGCCGCCCCCGCGTTTGCGCCTTGCTAGTTAATTGAACTGCTCCATGGACAAAGGCCTCGTGCTCTCTCTCTCCGAGATTAGCGATCTAGACGTGCTGAGTCGACTTTAAGTCAAAAGACCTCATCTAGTTGAAGTAAAATAAGCCCTAGAACGCTTTAAGTTCGAACAATTGTCGAGTTCAAGGAACTCCAGAGTCTGTGTACTCTTTGCAAGTCTTGTACTTGAAGTCAGAACCTGAGCGTTCTTTGTAGAGTGATTTTGCACTCTTTGTAGACCTCGGAGTCTTTGGTTGTTTGATTATTTGAAGTGTCCACTAGAAGCTCTTCTAGACGACGTCGAAATGAGTATAATTTGCTCGACTATACCTTACAAAACAAGTTCATAAAACCCCGCTATCGCGGACTAGTGTACTTTGTGTAAAACACTTCGAAAGAAGAATTGAAGTTGGTTTCAGACAAAACCCCACCAGATTATCTAAATCTAAGTACATCGCGAGTGCTTCTATTGTACTCACCCTCGAACTTATATACATTGGTGATAGTGTGTGTGTGTGTGTGATTTAGTATCTAGATTGACGATCTAGACACTTGTTTCATTTGCGCGCTGCCTGTTACCAAGCACATCAACGTCATCGGGATTGTGCCCAAAATCAATGGACTCTACCGCGTACAAGGCTCCACCAACCATCACCATAGCAAATCCCCCACAGCAGCTGCTGCTACCCCTCAAATCAGTATCTTGCAGTTCCACCGCATGACAGGACATGCAAGCCATGAAGCCCTGAAGCAGAGCATACGTAATGGGGAGATTATTGCCCCCAACATTGACCTAAACTCCGAACCGGAGTTCTGCTCAGCATGTGTGCAAGCTAAAGCTGCGACAAAACCTTTCCCAAAGCATAGTGACAATGAGTCAGCCAAGAAATATGGCGACAAGGTCATGGGAGACATATGGGGACCAGCCGAAGTCAAGTCTCTTGGCAGTTCAAAATATTTTGCACTATTCAAAGACGTTGCAATGAGGGAGTGCTTACCATACTTCATGAAGAAGAAATCAGAGACATTGTGCTGCTACAAGGAGCATGAGGCTTGGATGAAAGCCCAACGTGGAGTAGACATTGTGAAGATATTCGGGTGTGACCGTGGAGGAGAGTTTACGAGCGAGGAGTTCAAACACCTTAAATCTGCAGGGACAATACGTCACCTCAATGTCCATGACTCGCCATCCTCAAATGGAATGACGGAACGAGAAATGCGCACCATGCTTGAAGGCGCCCAAGCCATGATAATTGCAGCCGGGCTGCCCAACTATCTGTGGGCCGAAGCCATAGCCTACCACTGCTGGCTGAGAAACCGGCTCCACCACAGCGCTCTCACCGACGAAAAGACAACCCCACATGAAAAGGCTACACAAAAGAAGCCTGACATGTCCAATCTGCATGAATTCGGGTGCACCATGTGGGTGAAGCAACTCGGACAGGGGAAACTACAGCCTTGTGCTGATCCTGGCCAATTTGTAGGCATTGATGAAGAGTCAAAGGGTATCCAGGTCTATTGGCCTGGAAAACGTCGTGTCAGTGTTGAGAGAAACATCTACTTCAATAAAGATGAAGACCTGAGCAAAGAAACCGTCAAAATTGAGGGGGAGTACAAAACAATTATCAATCCCGACGGATTCCATGCTACAAACGACACTCATGACAGCCCAAAAGAGACCAAAAACAAGGGAGATGAACCTGCCACACACCACTAACACCTCTATCAACCCTGCCATCAAGCCCAAATCTCGCACCACACCTATGAAGGGTCCAAATTGAGGACATTCCTGATGAAAATGACCTCCCAGCCCGACCCCAACGAGGCTCACGCAAGCCAGAGGGTTTCTACAACATCAACCGAATGTCGAAGGCTGCTGGTGTCACTGCATGTGTCCTTGAAGATGACAGGAACCTTGAACCAGGTGGAATGGACTATGATACGAGCGAGGAAGAGTGGTTTGCTAACCTAGTTGAGTCAGCACTAGCCACAACTAATGGAGAGCCGGATTCCATACAGGAGGCACTGAAGGGACCGCAAAAAAGAGAATGGAAGGATGCTGTCGAGAGGGAGCTAAGCCAAGTTGAAGGCTTACATATGTACAACATAATCCCCACTCCACCCGGGGCCAACGTTGCTAAAAACAGATATACGTTTCATATCAAGATGGATGATCAAGGCTGTATTGTACGATACAAGGCCCGGCTGGTCCTAAAGGGGTTCTCCCAAATTTATGGCATTGATTTTCATGAAACATTCGCTCCGACAGTCCGCCTAACTACCCTACATGCATTACTATCCGTAGCTGCTCAGAAGGACGCTGAAATACACCAAGCAGACATCAAAAATGCCTACCTCCAAGCTGACCTCCACGAAACCTTGTATATGGAGTTACTGCCAATGTACGAGGACTTTAGGGAAATCCCCAACAGACTCAAAGGGAAGAAGCTATGCTGTAAACTGCGTAAGCCATTGTATGGAAGCAAGCAGGGTGCACACAAGTGGTACCAGAAGCTGAGACGAGTATTCCTTGCTCTCGGATACTCCATATGCCAGGCCGATGAAGCAGTGTTCTACAAATTCAGCAAAGACAAGTACACCATCGTCGCCACCACTACAGACGACTTCACCATCATTGCCGACTCCAACGACGCAATGAACCTCATCAAGAAGCAGCTCAGAGAGCACTTCGAGATGACTGACCTTGGTGAGATTAAATGGCTGCTCAGTATTAGCGTACACTGCAACTGCGAGGCCAGGACCATCACCCTAGGCCAACAGGCATATGTCGACAGCATCGTCAAATGGGCTGGCCAAAGCAAAGCTAGAGCAGTCATCATGCCAATGGAACCAGGAATTGATTTGAGTTATGACTCACCCTCCATATCCACCACTGTGCTCCCCAAGGCCCAGCATTCCCAATACCGTGAGGCCATTGGATGTCTCATGTACGCATCTCTTGCAACTCGACCCAATATCTCCTACGTGGTGTCAACACTATCCCATTACATGCAGGAGCCAAGAACCTCTCACTGGCATGCAGTTTTACGAGTCTTCAAATACCTAAAGGGAACTCGAGACTATAGCCTCACCCTAGGAGGAAAGAGCACGCATGTTACAGGCTATTCCGACACAGACTGGGCTCAGCAGATGCACAGGCACTCAATTTCAGGGTATGCCTTCTTCGTAGGGAATGGAATCGTATCCTGGAGCTCCAAGAAACAGCCTATCATCACCCTCTCCAGCACTGAGGCTGAATACGTTGCCCTGATGCATGCATCAAAGGAGCTGATATGGCTCCGCAAACTCTTCAAGGAACTCATCCACCCAATCGCCACCCCAACGACGTTATTCTGTGACAATCAAGGGGCAATCACACTCTCAAAAGACTCCATGTACCATGCATGAACAAAGCACATCGATGTGCAGTTCCATTTCATTAGGCAAACAGTCTCCAGGTCACAGAGTTCCATCAAGTACTGCCCAACGGACGACATGATTGCGGATGCGTTCACCAAGTCCTTGAAACATGTCAAACTTGCCCGATTTCATGCGCTGATGGGTCTTGCTCCTTCGGATGGCTAGCGATTAGGCTTGAGGGGGAGTGTTGAGCATGGCGAGCGTTAACCGCAAGCCATGGACTATATTTAGATTACTGGTACATACCTGATTAGTCTATTTTTTTTATCGTGGCATCTCAGCGTTCAACCAACGTCTTCAAGCTGAGATGTACATGTATACTCACTATATTTCTATTATACTATTGCTAATCATACCTATAGATATACTTCATACTCATACATATTCTATAGAATCCTTTTCCTCTCACAACCATGCCTTCCCTCCACGTACACCCCGGTCCACTGCTCAAGAGTAGCCAACGCTGGCTCAGAGTCGGTCAAGATCCTGAAGTACGGGACAATTTTGGATGACATGCTTCTTTCAATGTCACCAAGGATGGAGAGACCATTAACTTCACTGGGATCAAGGTGGCGTTCTCCTGTATACTTTCACCATGCCCCTAATTCACTTATCCATGTTTCCTGCAGATCTCGGTTTCTTTGAAGGACACTAATGATTCTGTGTTTGCGGTCATCCCTCCTGGACAATTGGTTACTGCGGAACATGATCGTAAGGAGTATATTTCCTACTGATTGATTTTTGCTAATCCTATATTCTCGTTACAAAGTATCGGCACTGTTTGACTTTGCTTCAGCTCGTCCAGGAACATTCATGTTCACACCTGTGATGTCCTTCTATATCACTAGTCCGGAACCTAGAGTCACCGATGGGGCGAGCCTTGATAAGGTTTCGGTATTGTCTAGCTCTGTCGATATGAACATCTCTGGCGACTTGACCAAGCATGATCTTTTTCCTGTCCTGAATACCTGTGTGGTTGATATCTGTACTAACAGTACCAAAGCGCACATTATCGATGCAAGGTTGGTATATATGTGTTCCTCATTTCTGGCATTCACATCTCTCACATATGCTTCAGCTATATTGGGGCAAAAAGTATAGCTTCATCGGCGTCCTCTTATATTGAATTGAATGGTGATGATTCTCTTTACACTTCTTACTTCGGCACTATGCTGACAGACATGGTTCGCACAGTGTTTGATAGAGTCGCAAATGAAGCATCTAACACAAGGACGTACACCATTTCCATCTACCCTCTTTTTCAACCTCTCAAATTCCTGCAGGATAGACTGCACGGATCCATTCGTTTCATGTGGAGTTCAGCCAGGTATCATTGTGTATACTGTCTTACCTGATTCAGATGTACGTATTTCCACCATAGGCATATGTTTGACAGGATCTGATGGACCGTTTGTTGGTGCTAGATTTACTTCTGCAATCCCTTTTACTCCTTGGATTCTAGTCCGGGTCTTTGTTTTGGTACAGTTGACAGCACCTTTACTGCTGACAGAACTATGAGCTATTCTGGATGTACGTTGATCGACAAGTTGATGGTTTCTGTTATCTAGCTTACCCATGCAACTTCCGAAACCATCGATGTCATCTATGGCTGCGCTAATGACTGGGCACTTCTTCCTGTTGAACAAGCTGTCAATGCCGACAATTATAACGTATGTTATGCACATTTAATGTGAAATTCATGCTGACATTATTCCTAGTGCTTCGCAAAGGTGGTTTACAAGGCCACTATGTGCAGTTAGAAATATTGTTGCTTACAGATGTAGGATTTCACCCAATTGAAGTTCTAAATTTCACTTAATAGTGTTGTTAGTATCTGAGAGACTCATTTATATCAATACATGTTTTGTCTTCGACTGAAAAGTTACCTAAATACATTCACTCTAGTGACAAATGAGCACTGCATTTTGATGCGACATTTCTAAAATTCAAGAACAGCTTTCATGTAAGTGGTGAGGTTATCCACTCCTCTTTGGACAAGGCATACAGGTTCTATGCACAAGGACAACATCTCTTTTCACCGCATGGAAAGTTCGAGTCTGGGAGAGAAGTTGGGTATTTTATGCCAATAATATACATGCTTTTCAGGACGAGAGCCAGAGAGGCCTTGCGAATATCATGAATGCATCCCATGTCTTGGTGTTGGAAAATGACTGACCACAATGTGTATGGGCATAATAGCGTGCAAAAAATCGGATAAACGCAAGTTATCTTTTCCAGTCGCAAGTTACTTTTGAGTGTGCAAGTTCACTTCCTCCCACAAGTCAAGTGTTTTCCTAAAAGTGATATACACATCCGCATCAGTTGTTATCATAGATCTCTGAATAAGATCTGGCGGCATGAGTTTAGAGCGGGACGAGGTAGCTGAACCAGCCGACATTATTTCGGTGCTTGACACCAGTCATTCTGCTATTGTTGTAATGGCCTGAATTCCTTCAGCATCCTATTCATCTGCTTTACCTACTTCTCCATCGCTTTTTCAAGTGATGGACTCAGATACATTTCCATTCGGTGTTTAATCTCTGGATTCAATGCCTCTCAGTTTAGACAGTCCACTGACTCATCACTCAGATTCACTCCCCTATAGATTTGAATGCTCGGAATACTGCCAGACAGCGATAGATTGAGCTCAGTGGGGCGCACTGAGAATGATATTCCAGAGGGTTCAAGGAGTTCGCGACATGGCCAGCTGAACAGCGTAGGACTGTAGGTATTGTATTCCTTCCCAGAATGTTGACATTCCTATGGTTCATAACCAATGCCGGGTACCCTGACAGCTGGACAGAGATTTGTATATTTCAGCCTAGGCATACTTATTCTGAAGCTATAGCTAACAGCAAACTTGCGAAAAAAAAAATACTAACTTGCGGAAGGATACAATCAAACCTGGGGGCTAATAACCAACTTGCAACCGGAAAAACACGACTTGCACCTACGTGAATTTTTGCATGTTATTATGCCCATAAACGCGACTGACTGGAATGGGATGACGAGGCCGATTTTTGGCCTGGATATGAATTGCCTGATTGAGCAAGTGATGGCATGTCAGGACCTGGAGACTGCCAGCTTAGGAATGGATCCCGTGTCTGAAAACAACTACTTATTTTCGTATCTCCACATTTGTGGGCGACCTGCAAGTTGAGGTGTGTTGATTACATTATCAACATGCATGAGCGGAACCATGCCCTCTTTTCTCCTCTTTCAAGGTCATAAAAAAATTGCCCGTCTTGGGACCTGCCCAGGTCAGCTATTCACAGTACTAGGACCCCGCTGTCATTCCTTCTGACCGCTACACCTCAATCTCATAGTAAACTCAAAAAAAGACTTTGCCAATACTTGCCGAATTTCAGCCAAGTTAACTATGAGCCATTATCAGTTAAACATATCACCTTGAAGAATCCAGAACAGAAACTTGCTGATGCTGGACCCCCACCACTGTTGAGTCCGAAATCGACTTCAAAACATTCAGCCTGACTTTTCATGGGTTTTGTTGCAACCCAAGAACGTCTTAGACGTTCAGCCTGTTGCAACATGTTACAACACAATAATTTCGTGTATTTATCAATAGTTACAATGTATGCAAGCTACTTCTACGTGTTGCAATGCGTTGTAACGTGAAATTATTTGTATGTAACTTAGAAAGAGAAAACCTTCAATCCCATACCTGCTTCTTGTTGCAACACTGCCCGTCCGTTGCAACATCTCATTTTTGGCTTGCAATACGGTCCGACGCAACCACCACCGTGGGTACATTGAGTTCGCTTGGGCGCGAGCAGCAACGTCCGACCGCCGTGATCACTACCAATCACATAATACCTCTAAAAGAGGCCTGTAATAGTCGCTCACCCAATCTACAATCGCGCCCTTCCTTGTGCCACCAAGCCAAGATGTGGCAACAATGAATAGAACGAGGGCGGCCTCATCGAGAGATGACTTCGAAGGGGTAGACGTCTCTTGAGTTGTCGATAGTAGAGGATACAAGGAGTTGTTCGTCACTTAGTAGTGGTAGAGCACAGGTAGGAGATTGTGGTCAAGACAAAGCCCCTACGCGTCGGTGGCTTTTCAATTAGCAACAGGCATTGCACTGCCACCACATGGACCGTGCCTGGACTGTCTCTAGTCCCATGTCCATCAAGTCAATTCGTCAATTAATTTTGATAACATATCGCAATATAGGTCTGAACAGACTTACGAAAGAGATGTCTCTGTGGGAGGTGCAAGGACCTCCCCGCCAAAAGAGCTTCCAACAAGCTTAGCCTGCGACGACCCCACGTGCCAGCGGCATACGACTCCCATGCCCGTACCTTTCGTCGTTTCCATCATCGTCCGCCATCGTCCTCGCAGATGATTGACTCTCTTCGCCAGGTATGTGCCCGATTTTTTTTGTCATATCTTGAACTCACGGTCTCCTAGAAACATGAGTAACTCCACCGACGAACACCAAGTAATTCGCTCGACCCAACAAGCGGTACTGTATGTGTTAGATCTTTCACTTTTACTTCGGTTTGTCTCAAACAGTCGGTGCAGCGACAATCCCTCGTCAGTCCCTTCTGATGCGCAACCGGCCTCACCAACTACTTTGACACGGGACACCGAGGAATCCATCCCACAGCGTGTTACCTTCGCACGCTTGGGCAGCCAGGTCACTGTCGTTGGCTACATCAACCCGGATGGTTCCATGTTGAGGGTAGAGGTTGTTCTCTCGAGGGGAAACCTCAGCGTCTCCCTGGGATACGATTTCGGGCAGCACTGTATCTGTCGTCCTCGAACTCACGGTTCTAGACAATGGTGATGTGAACATTGTTGGTGGGGACGTTCAGCTGTCGGTCGGAGCGTTCAGGGTAGACTATCATTTCGTCGTCTGAGATCAACGTAAGTACTCTTTTTCTCAATCATTGGCATCAGCATCCACTCACAGTTAAATCACTAGTCATGGTTATATCGGCCTTGCATGGCACAATCTCAATATTTCTTGATAATAGGAAGTCTAGGCATGCAATTTGTATTATATTCATACTATTATTTTGTACATACAGTCTAAAATAATTCTTGTCAGTCAGCTAAATCACAATCACATTAGAAACGCCCACCTGTTTACCCAAGCGCCCACTCCACACAGCCACGACACGTGCTCGGGATAATTCCGGCGGCTATTCTGGCGACCGGCCCGTCATTAGTGCAAGTGTACTGATAATTAAAATGGGACCTAACCTTGTCTGATTATACTCCCTCCTCGAAACTTCTAAATGTCTCTTCAATCAACTTGCTTTTCTCTGCTTCATCCTCACGGCTCTCACTTTCCACCATTTCCCAGTCGACCTCCATAGTCGGTCGCCTCCCTTCGACTGTATGATGATAGATCTTCATCTTTGGCTGGCCAACCACCGCCACACTCGGCAAACACCTTTCTGGCTCTTTCTCCCATTGTCTTGTACATTGTCGACTTCTCAATGGCGTATACACGATACCCCGCAACTGACGTATAGTGTTTCGGTCCCTCTTCGGACATATCCTTCCAGACCTGATGCATTTTGTCGCAGGCCCGAATGAAATGCCGAAACTCTTCCTCTAATATTTCCACCTCTTCTATCCATCAATCCATGTCAGCTCGTGCTCGAAACCATTGAACCTTGAAAGCTGGCAGAAATTTCTGTTAAATTCTATTCGAGAACACGAACGATCACTTACTTGCTTGGCGGAAGTCATTCTTCTCAATATCTGACATTCCCTTCAGCCGTCCATAGGTCCATATCCAGCTATCCGTTACAGATCCCTCGCCCAAACCTCAAGCTCCCGCCGCGTTTTTAGCGTACAGATCACTTGCTTCCAGCTTCGGAAAATCTTCCAATTCCTCAGTGTTGGAAAGGTGCAACAACGCGATACGAGCCTGACGATAGGCTGCAGCATAACCATTCTTCTTTTTGGCAATGCCATTGATATATTTCAATGAACGTAGATTCATCGTAACTCCACGGGAGTGGCAGCCGTCATGTGTCATTCAACAACATGCAGTGGATAATGCTGTTTGAGAGCATCATGATGGCCTCATTCGCTTGGCCTTCCCGGAGTTTATACTCGATGTCTGCAAACTTCTTCAGGCCACCGATCTCCATTTCTGAATGTGCCAGGTCTGACTGGCAGGAACAAACACTCGTTCTCCACTTTGACATTCTCCTTTATGTCCTTGTCCTCTTCCTTCCTCGCAGCAATGATGTCACCAAGGTCTGGCATCTGCTGGAGCTGTGTTTTGCGGTAACGCCGAATCTCGGCCGATAGGTTGCGACGGGCTAGTCGGATTTCTTCGGTCAAAATGTCCCCTTTTCTGATGGCGGTGGCAAGATCACGCCTACTCCGGATATTAGCTTGTCTTATCTAGACAATATAACCATTGAACACTCACTGCTTTGTTTGCAGTTTAATCCCTACGTCTACACAATGGATGGCCGGGTTTTTCTTGTGGGCACCCATGCCTGTTTGTTCTATTGTGCGTTCTTGTTCGAGGAGACTCGTGAATACGTCGGCTTGAGTGGGAACTACAAGACAAAATGTGAGATCCGGTTATTACAACCATACAAGGGTAACACGTACATTTCTGCACATTCAGACGATAAGGACTTTCCCATTGCTTCGTCTTTTCGTTCCATCTGGGCTTGGTTGACTCTTCCTTCCACAAATTGACATTTGCCTTGCCCCGCATGATGCATAGACCCAGAAAATACTCGACGATTTTGGCGAGCTGCTCACATCCCTTGATAATGTTGTTGAATAGGGATTCACCTAACAAATAGCATTAGAAATGTTCGGCTATAAATCAAACAGCTTACTCATTTTCTGGACCTTACACCAGTTCCAGAAATTATGATAATTGTTCAATTTGTCATGTCGGTGCCCATGATTCATCTGGTGCGTGCTCCCGCCGGACTGCTTAGACTTGGCCCAGCTCTGTTCGATCCCTTCGCCGTGGTTTCACCCTGCGCCCTTGAAAAAATTCAAAGAAAAGCGGTACTTGCAATTATCAATGTGTCCGTCGAGGTGCATCTTCGGTACCAAGCAATTGATGATGTCAACAATGTCACTAATCTGCAAAAAACACTCAGTGAAACGTTCCTTGAGCTTGGCGTGGTATTGGCATGCGATATCATAAGTCAGGATGATCCGACGAAAATACTTGGCTGCTTTCAGACTCTGCTCGTTTGTATATCGACTCAGGGCGAAGGCCAAACAGAAGTCCGTATTGGCGAACCTGGAATGTAGTTAACATCAGGAATGTTAACCATCCCCTACCACCACTATGTTACTCACCATTCACCCTTATGCAAATCGACCATGGAAATGAAGATGCAATGCCGACCGCATTCCACGGCAATGACTCCCGTTATGACGCATCCTTTAAACTTCATCTTGTTCTGCATCTCGATGGCATTGAACTGAGAACAGGTGGATTTCTGACAAAAGAAAACGTTAATACCACGAATACTGCTCGGAGGATACCTACCTCATCAGAGGTGGCCACAACTTTTTCAATGTACTCGTTATAAGCTTTGTCCATCGGGAAAAGTCCTGTTCCCGTCACAATAGATATGTCATCAGGGTCGTCCACTTTCCGGAATCTTTGCAGCCCAAAATGCCCATCTTGCATGAATGTGAATTGAACCAAATGTCTATCCCTCCATCAGTGACTCTACATGATGCCAAGGACAAAGACTCACATCATTTTTTCTGAAACGGTGTCCATGATCAGATCCGACACGTTGAAGCCCCACTCTGGACAAGCAAAGCATGGTACCACGACGAACCCAGCAGGGCATTGTGGAAAATGCTTATCAATTCCATGAGCTTGCCTGCTTCGTTTCTTCATTGTGAGTGCTATCCATATTCTTTGAACACGCACAAATTGCCGGTACACATCCTAGTAAATGATTAGGCTTCAACGCGCCATCTATGACATATTGCAACGTACTGGACAATCCTGGGGAAAGGCATTGTTTCCTTGGCGTTTCACAGCTTCAATATAATCATATGACGATTTTTTGGACGTTAGCGTGTGTAGGTGGAAATCTCTTAGCACTGCAAACGTAAAACCCGTCCTGGGTTTATTCCTCGTGGCTGGGAAGATTCGACTTTCCAACAAGTTCTGAAAATGATTGCCAGGTTTGCCAGGACATTGACAGAAAACAACCCATGTTTGATGAACCCCATTGATATGCACAAGAGTGAAGTCGATAGGTGTATACTCCAACGCGTAGTGGCAGTGTGGCGAGGAATGGCGATCATGGCCAATGGTCACAACATGTCCCAGCTCAGCAATGTCTCGCCGTACGAAGTGAGTTCCATTCCACTCTTCAGCCCAATGCCACGGATTCCGCCCGCCATGAAAATCCAGGAAACACTGCCGGCAGGATGGTTCGTAGTGTTGACAATCATGACACATGTACAGCCGCACGGCGTCATCCCGATTGCAGGCACATGGATCACCAATACTGCTATCACCCTCGCTCGCTAGCATGTATTCCAGTATACGGTCGAACTCCGGCTGAAATTCTTGCATTATGGCTGATACCCCCTAGAAAAATATTAGATGGAAAGAAAACAAGTTTGGACTGCTCACTTGTTCAAACATTCTCTGTTGTTTGCTCTTGGGAGCCTCGTTCCCAGCCGCGTCGTCATCATGTACCTCATGGAGGCGGGGATCATCATCGTCTCCTTCAGTTTCAAGGTCTACAAGCGACGGCTCCCGCTCACGTTTGTTACTGCTGCTTGCGGTCGTTGGCCATGATTCCGCTCCTGTCTCCTCCAACCACGGCTTTCCCAATGTCATCGACCCTGGGCCTCCCCCTGAAAAGGTTTGGTGCATCGAGGGCTGCATCGTTACATGCGATTGGACACTGACGTTTGCGCCTTTCGGTAGAGCTCGCACTCGTCTCCTAGGCCCCATGGCAAAGCAGAGTGAACAGGGCCTATAATATCTGAATAATAAATATCAAGGTATGCAAAGGACGGGAATGACCCACTTTGGCAAGTTTGAGCATTAATTATTTACTTATTTTTCTTAAGAAGCAATGTATAAATTTTCAATAAAAAAAAACTATAGGTAGATTGATATACAGAAATATGGCATTGTATACAACTATCGAATCCGAGCACGCTTGGAAGGCCTCGCCTGGCCCTCGGGAGATGACTCGCGTGGCTCTCCAATAGTCTGGACGCCGTTGATGCGAGCGTACACTATTTCCACACCGTCAACCATCTCAGAGCGCATGACGTCAGACATATTTCGTTTCCTTCCCTTCCTGGTAACAGTGGTTGGAGGTGTTGCCAACGGAGGTGGTCTTGCTCTCCAAGGCGTCCCCTGACACGTCTGAGCAGCTGCTGTGCCGTCATCCTGCACACCTAATGAAATCGGTCAGATACTCGTACTCTCCATAACTTGGAGCTCACTCACCAGCAGCGGACCGTGAGCTTGTTCGTGTAACACGGGCAGATATGGGCTCCCCAACTAGAGCACCCGTCACCCCCATCTCTTTCATCTGGGCGCTAATATAAAGCCGACGCTGATCACCTCGCAGTCCAGTGGCAAGACCAGCACGAACAAGGTATTGGCAAAGTGCTTTGTCGCCTACACTGAATGAGCAACTTAAGACGATAAACAAAGCAAAGACTAACTGGTACAATGCTGAAGTTCCTCTAGATGCTGCCAAGCCTCTTGAGCCACACGCAAAGCCGCTATTGCATTGACGTGGAGGGCCCTGACAACATCCAAATGTTCATCTGCTTTGCGGACTCGCTCCCCGGAGCGTGCAACAACACTTCGACTGGCGTCTGAACGAAACTCAGCTAACACGTATCACCACACAAGTGAGTACACGCACGTTCGACATCAAGCATATTGTCGATTGCGGCTGCTAATCTCTTCGAGGCCCTCTCATACTGCACTTTTCGCTTCTTAACCAGGGTTGACAGTGCAGAGACTGAGCATGGCGAAGCATCCTTATCTTCAGCGACAATCTTAGCAAGCTCGATTTGCTCGTCGGGGGTTGCTTCCAACAAAGTGATAGGGCGGCAGCCATCATTACACTTGGGAGAAAAAATCAGGTCCTCTACAGGACTCGGAGGTAAGGTAGACGCACATAAATCCACTGCTTGCCAATATTGGGTCCATTCATTACGGTAGTATGTCGGTGGAATCCCTTCTTCTTGCACTGCATTAGGTCGTTATACTCCGCCGCAGTGAGTGCAAGATTGCCCATGGCCAATCGGACATGGAAGGCGTAGATAGTTTTGACATAGTGTTTGGGAGGGAAGTAAGGCATGAGTTTGAGTGATCTGGATATTCTAGGTTGGAAACGCAAAGTTTTATAGGTGCGAGACTGCGCTTACCCACTGATGGATACCCTTGGTCAAAGCCATGGTCCAGTACTGTATCATACTTCAAAGACAATTCGAGAGGCAGGGCAGGGGTCGATGTACCATGGTCAAAGCGCTGCATCGCCTCGCGTTGTTGTATCAAAGATAATGCGCATGCAAAAAACAAAAAAAAATGAAAGAACAACATGGTTCCTGTTCATAGCAAAATCAGACCAAGAAGAGAATCAAATGATGGACAAACCTGTGGGGTCCGACCAGCAGGAACCAAGGCCAGAGCCCGTTGCCTAGGGTGAGGCACATGGTGGACGGAAGGAGAGGAAGAAGAGGTGTGGGAAACTTTTTCCACCTAGGTTATCGGGCCCCAAAATTACTATCGTCCGAAAACCTGAGGATGTTCGGACGACAGCAAAATCGTGGACTGGTATCAGCTGCTTGGCATCACTTTCTCACGCTTTCTCGCTTGCTCTCCAACTATCACCACGCTCGGTGATTGTCATAGCTCGCATGAGGACAGTAGTACTATGAAATCCATTTGCTTCTGCTGCTCAGGCAAGAGTGATCCCTAAGAGCATAATCATTGCTGATAAGTAGCATCATGACGTCTAGGCATGGCTCCCAGGTGAGTATACATCCACCCCTTGCATACATTCCACATCCTAAAGACTGATCATAGTGGTATAACTATTGTGGTTTTGTGGATTTGGAAGCCTTCAAGGACAATGATTGCGTGTCTGACGAAGGAGAAGAGGCAGATGATATTGATGGTTTGACTGCTGGCTCGTACTCTTCTCTATTACAGTTTTGACATCCTCCAGATTTTATCGATGACTCCAATGATACCACCCAGTCTTCAATAGCGACTTTCAGTCATGGAAGTGAAGATCCTACCGCGGAAGAACTAGAGGACCTTGTGTCAGCCGTAATGGAACGTGCTAGGAAATGTCGGCGCATTGACACCGACTTGAATGCACGTAATACCGACCCTGTGGATGGTCCTTGGGTGGTACGCTCCCGTGGTCAGCTCTGGAGAGTTCACGTGAAGGTGAGTTCTTTGCTGTGTTGTATGTGAATCAGAACTCAACCACGTTTCAGAAACATACAGAAGACCATCTGGTATCTCGCCTCAGACATTACAATACACCCGAACATTGTCTCATAGCAGCCTTTTGCCTGGCCCTCATCCCTCAATGGGTGTATTTGGATTGTCAATATGTTAATCCTGCACTCAGATCGCTACTTTCTTCTTCGTTTAGCGTCGTCACCACCAACGGCTGTCCCATTCTGGAACAAATCTCGGATGGGGAAGAGTCCTCCATTCAGACGATGCAACAGGGCAAGCCTGACCCTCAACAAGGCGACTGGGTTGTAGTCACGAGAGGCCCATATCGCAACGACGTGGGTTGTGTGCGTGAAATCTATGATTGGGGTGCAGAAGTCCTCGTCGTTCCCTGTTTCTATGCCCACGAGCACCGACACGTACCCCAGAAAGACAAAAGAAAGAACAGCTCACTATCTCTATGGGATTCCACCCGAACGCTAGACCGGCTGGGAACAACACGGCAAATACGCCTGGAAACGTCCCGGAAACGTCCAGATAGTGAATACGACCATGGTTTACTGATCCTAGAATGCGAAATTCACTCTCTTGTGCCTGCAACTACGATATCCGTTTCAACTCTGGCTTTATTTATGCAAAGCCAGCATGTCATTATCCTGCAGGCGGAATCCCGAGTGCCTTGTCCCATGGAATGGCATTTCCAGGTTGGAGACGTTGTGGAGCTACCCGGCCCGCCATACGATAGGTCAGGTGTGGTGTGCAGTGTCAACACAGTCGGCGTGGCGGTCGATCTAGACAATGGCGCCGGCATACACCAATTTCCCTTCTGCTGCCTGGTCAAAAGAATACTTGTTGGTGATTTCATCGTCTGCTTGGAATCGGGTCGCAAAGGAATAGTACAAGCGGTGGAGAATTTTCATATAGCGGCGCTGACCAAAGGGCCTGACGGGGAGATTGAGGTTGGTATTATCTGATTCCAAATGCGGGCAGTTAACTAATGATTTTCTAGGAGTTCCAGCGCCCCAGAAATTTGGTTTCGCGTCAATCTCAACACACTCAAGATTATAGTGACTATGTTCTCAAGCCGACAGCTGCACCGAATGCTAGCTGTATTGGGCAGCATATTGTTATTGCGGGTTATGGCCTGGTGCTCGGGGGCAAAGGGGGGTTGGTGATAGATGTCATCATCGAGGAAGGACTTACAATGGTCATGGTCACATTAGACGATGAGCCTGACTTTCCTCGAATGTTTCTTCCTGGAGAGCTTACAATAGAGGGGTATATATTCATAGCCCTCGCCTCGGTATAGTGCTAATACTTCTTTGTAGACAGGGTGAACAGCTTGATATCGGGGAAACATCGAAAGCCCTTGAACAGATCAAAGATCCCATCAAAACCACCAGCGAGACTCCTTGGATTGGGATACAGGTCGCTGTCTTCCAAACAGGGCATCCACTCAGAAACAAGATCGGCACAGTCAGGGATGTGATTTGCGGCCAAGATAGCGACAGCGGACTGCGTCTCATCATCGTGCTAGAGACGTATGACCCTGCAATAACAAATAAAGAGTATACAGTGGACTACGAACATGTTCTGCAGGTCGAGTGAGTGTCATCATTTCTAACTGTGGAAACAACCTAAAGCTTCTGCAGGACCAAGCTCCCCTTGAGATTGCATCAGCCGCTTATGCGTTCGCAGATGGCTTTTCTTCCTCGACAGTCTTTCCTGCAATCTGGCTCCGAAGAACGCATGGCTCGCTTGGGCCAAACCCAGCCGGGCCATTTCATCAGATACAGGGCTGCGACACCGCCCTCCCACCTTGATCCGGCCTGGGATCCCCGTTCCAAGACACCCCCTCTCCCTGGACAAAGCTCATCTGTCTCCGGATCTCGATTTCATCTGGGCTATGAACACCACGGTCATTGGGCCACAGACCCGTGACTGCTAGGCCGTGAATTGTGCGTCAAAGTCAATGGCAAAGCGAAAACTCTTGTCTTTCATCAGGGCGGGAACAGTTCACAAGTGGAATGCTACATCCGTAAAGGCAAGAAAAAAATAGAAGCAGTCTCTGCTGAGCTCGTAGAAGCCATGCATCCCGCCACTCCTCGCAATTACGAATGTTGGATTGTGATCAAAGGTCGGCACACTGGCAAATATGTCCGCTCCATTCGCTATGAGAAAGGGGCAACACCGAAAATGCCGACTTGGTGGACAGTAGCCGTAGTCACTCCTGCGGAGGGCCAGGTAGATGAGCAGACAGGAGAGGAACTGCACCTAGAATCCACGGATCTATGCCTGGAGGAAGAAAGCGAGTCTTCCAGGGAAACCAACATGCTGTTCAGCCAAAAGCTACGGGAGGAGGCGCCTCGTCATTGACACAGATCAATTCATAATGTAATATACCAATTGTACTGCCATACCCAATAATGTAATCTAGCAGTATAGCATATTGTAACTTAGGAGACATATTATTTTATCGTACGGGTACCGGCCCAACTTGGTTAAATCTGTGGACGGCGGAGAAAACGAATTTTGGGGGGATTCATATAGGCGCAGTCATCATATTCATAAGTAGTCGATATGACAAAAATGCATTGTAAGCTCTTAATTTCGGTCTACAGGTAGAGCGGTGAGTCGTCCGCGTTTCGGATGTACAGGAACTAATTGAAAGGGTTGTAGGTACTATGCGGTCAAACAAATTCTTTGTTCACATCAAATCCGTCGAGCCACTGTACAGATGCCACTCGTACCAAGAGCATACTGCCAGGAAGAGCAAAAACGGGTGACTCCCAGCCCATGTCAATCCATTCGCTGTCCCGATAAATCAAATAATCCTCGATACCGGTCAACTGAGGATTGTGGTCCCTCAGGAGCTGTGCATTGTCACACAAGCGGACCCTTCCTGCATGATTCGGAGTCACCAGAAAACTACATGGTTCTATGCCATCCTGCATGAGTCAAGTCAGTTCAGAAAAACCTGCTAGCAAAAAGGTACTAACTTCGTCCCACAGTAAGATGGTTACTTTGGTAGGCATTGGAGCCTGGATCTGCACGCGTATTTCAAGGAGACGGGTAAGCAAGTCTGAACCTCCAGTGAAAGGGGGGCTGATGGGTATTGGAGTACTGCAGACCAGAGAAGCTGATGGATCTTTGCACTGAAAATGAAACTCATGAGAACAATACACAGGCCATCTGAAGTTGGGGCGAAGACGAACCGTTTGAAAATACTGCCCAAAGTAGGGACCTTCGGCAGTGCATATGATTGGCATGCTTGGAGGGTGGGGGGGATGCTTGCTGAGCTGTACTTCGGGAGCAGGACCAACCAACTCGACGAGTTCCGCTGCGATGCTCTGTTCGATCCCCTCCTCAAGGACCTTCGGACTATGAAGAGGGTATTTTCCATGGAGATTGGCGAGTGTGAGAGACATGAGAAGTTAACGAAATGATGCAGTCAGTGCAGCTCCCCGTCTCTTTTAAGAGATGCGATCTATGTTGATGCTTTGACCTCTAGATCAAAGCACTCAGGCGCTTTGGCACACTCAAAGCCAAGTCAAAGCTCAAGACAATGGCGAGCCGCTCCTCGTGTGGAGCTTTGGCTCTGCAGCGCCTGGCTTGGAATCATCTTTGGTATGACTTTGCAGTTGCCTTTGAAAGATCGATAACATTGTCTTTCTCTTCCAGTGTTGCTTATAAGCAGCAGCAAATGGGTGGCATGCCTTCTCTCTCTGACTGGCACCCATGGCACCAGCTTCGACGTATCCTGCGGAGGAGGAGGCCTGGATCCAAGCGAAACTGCAAGAGTATCTTCCAATGTTGGGCTGTGGAAAGGCCAGAGCTCGAGGACAGCCAGCGCCTCAAGATGACAAAGATGCCAGCAACGCTGTCAGTTGTTTTATGAAGGAGTTTGAGCAGAACTTCGACTACAGTACCAAGACACCTAAAGAGCTGAAGACTCATCATGCGGTATGTTGGTCGCTGCTGATATACTATGTCCTACTTATTCTTAATTGCCAGAATTTCAAGGGAAAATTTCGTACTTTCAAATTGGCCAAACTGCACAAACGAATCTACGATGAGTACTTTTCGACGCCGGGTCCATCAATGAGTGTGGCTACGTCTTCAGACGGGCCATCTGCCACCTCTTCCACCATTCCCATCGTAGTATCCACCAAAAACGACCACTCCAACACCATCTTCTCCGACTTGCCAGATCCTACCGGACATGCCCTTTTCATCTCAAGCATCAGGAATGAGGTCAACATGGACGTCAATGACTTTCGGAAGGAGAATGGTATTGGTGGCAGGAAACATGCAGGTCTGCTGCAGAACCGATTCAAAGAGAGATGGGATGCTCTATCAGTAGAGGAGCAAAAAGAATGGGATGATCAGGCTAGGGCGCTGATGGCTTCGAAGCCCAGTAGCATATACCAGTAAGTCTATTCATGACCTGCGACATTTTCTGCTTCTGATGTCGCATAGGAATCAAGAGAGGCTAAACAGAGATCTCTCTTCTGTTCTATATCATTTGAGGGGTCCAGATGCGCACCAAGTTGGAAATGCGGCATTTCTGGTTCTCTATGGTGTGCGTAATGCAGATGAATGTCTTCAGACCGCCAGGTGAGTTTACATGATCTGAATGTTACAAAGTTCTCACTTATGGCACATTAGTATCGTTGTCAGTCCAGACGATGCTGTATCATTCGATAAGTATGTGTCAGACTTCCAAGCACAGTTTGTCAATCCTTGGCGCCAGTACTGCAACATGACTATACACTGTAAGCGCCGTTCCCGACTGTCAGTAACATGTTCAAAGCTGAACAGTCCTTAGATAATTGGGATACCAGTACCGATGCTACAAAGACGCATCAAGTGCACGTCGACGTGTCAGGCGGTGTCATCTTTCCGAAACTGGATTGGTCGTCTTTATCGTTGAGGGAGGTGCAAGCTCATTTAGCCTCCTTCTTTGATGCGCAATGGGGTAAGCCGTTGTTTTCTCCTTATCATAGTATTCACATTCGCTAACATCTACATTCAGCAAGCGTTAATGAAGGTCCAGTGCCATGGGATGATGTCATTGCGAACCCAAACAAATACATCAAGGCGTCACTTCCCTCCACCGTTCACTTGAAGAAAGCCTCTGACCTCGATTATATGGGCATCTTCGCACTCGTTGATCAATTTTGCCAAAATCCGGACATTATATTGTTCCATGCTATGATGCCTGTATCGCCGTCCAAGTCTCTCCCACCCAGCCCTGAGAAAGCCGCCAGTGTCAAGTCATCGCCATCCAAGGCCAAGTCCCCCAATCGACGCCGACCTTCTCCACGTAAAGAGGTTTCTCCTGCCAGAGAGCATGAGGAGATCGACTGGCTGAAGGGCATGCGACCACAGCGACGACCAACTCCGCAACCCGAACGGGATCCTGAGAGGAATCCAACAAAATCTCCTGATGGAGGAGTTCTGCCACCCATTGTGGAAGAGCTTTGTAATGAGGATAGCCCGCTAACACCCATGGCGGAAGAATTTGTGCTACCTGTTGTGGAAGAACCTATCGTAGAGAACCCTTTAGCACCCGCCATCGTGGAAGAGTTATTGGAACCTGCACCTCTGGTGAGGACGGCAGTAAAGGCGAAGAGAGCCCGAGGTCACCCCAAGAAGACCACGCCAGCTGGTAACGAGCAATCCAAAGAGATGGGAGAAAGCATAAAACGGAAAAGTCCGGATTCTAGCCATCCAAAGGAGCCAACTACAAAGCGTATCAAGTGAGTACATTTATTGTGCAGATTTGTTATGATTGACAATGTGGTAAGGCGCAATGCCGAGCTGCCTATCCATCCAAGACGTAGCGCAAGACGGGAAGAAATGGCGAAGCCCAAGGAACCAAGGTACGCTCTGAATGATGTGTGTCTCAAGCAGAGCTGACGTAGATTTCTGTAGCAAAACTGTCAATTACACGCAATGCAAAGGGGCTAGAGGATGGGTATATGTTGATGTGTAGATGGGCTGCAAAATTTCGGAGTTCAGCGGTGTGTTGCAACGCTTGTCGTTTTAAGGGAGCGGAGGGTCAGAAAATGGCATGTTACAACAGTGTTGCAATGGATGCATTGCAACACGTAGATTAGAAAGCTTCATAAGACAATCATATATATTAGACGGTAATTACAAAAAATACATTGTTGTAACGCGTTGCAACAGCGCGAACGTCTATGATGTTTTTTGTTGTAACAAAATCGGTGAATTTACTGATTCAGCGTGTATCTCAACAAAAATCACTGCAATGAAGACTCACCGTAGGTTTGGCTTTTCAAGGTTTCCGTGTCCAAACTCCAATGTCGACAATGAGTCTTAAGAAGGTATCATGAGTGGAATATCAACTTCAATGAAAGCTTACTCACTGTCACATTGATTTGGTTCTGCAAGGCTTAAACGTTCGTATTTTGAGTTGATTTTGACTCTAAAACATGCAAGAAATCAGCAAAAAATTGAAACCATGAACTGGAACTGAAAACGAGCATGCAAGTTGTTTGAAACGTCCGAAAATTGTCCTTGCAGTGCACAATTCAGCGGTTTGGCTCTGCAAGGTTTTGACCTTGGAATTTTTGAGCTCAAAACTGTCAAAAGATGAGCATCTGAAACAGGATGAAATCCTAAATAAAAGACTAACAGACTCTTCGAGAGTTTTATCACTGAAAAACTGAACTTTGAGCGGAGAGCAGACGAGTAACAATATCAACAAAGGATACTTAAACTTTAGTTTACCTCAATCGAATGCACCATCATTTATCTTTGTCCCCAGACAAAGATCCGTTGTCTCAGCACAAAAATAGAACCCATAAGTCCTGTCAATGATAGAACTACTTATTCTGGGTTGTCGGACGCCGATCTATCATCTTGGTGCAATGCTGAGTAAAAATGATAATAAATAGAAGTTTGCTCACGGAAAAGCTCCAAGTACTATGCCACAAGTTTGGCTCCGCAAGGTTTGATCTCGGGATTTTTGAGGTCGAAACTAATAGAAAATGAGCATTTGAAGGACACAATAAAGGCCAACATAGATGACTTACACTGGGTAAACACAATGGATTCACTCTGTAAGGGTTGAATAATTGACAACTGGACCTAAGAAAGAATGCATAAGAACTTCATTGAAAAAACCTAAACGGTAGTGTACTTCACTCTCCGAACATTGATCCATATACTCAAAGACGGTCTGGCCTCCGTTAGTTTATCCTCATGTCAGACAACGCCTGAAAGTCTTTAAGTTAGCGATCATGACAATAACAGTTGTCATTACCTTGGTCTACGGATGACAAACTGTTGTCTGAAAGCCAAACTTAGTAAAGCTAGCGATGCGGTGTAGTACACACTCACCCTCGCTCACGGGATGTCAATACATCGTCTCGGCACAATATTTGACGAGTTTCATCTCCTGCAAGGCGGAGTGTATTATCCCATGTCTTTGTTACACTTAGATTAGTGTATACGGGATAGATGGGGTGAAAAGACGTACTGAGGTACTTCCAATTGTTTTCACTTTGAAGTGGTGCATCATCACAAAGTCTACATGGTACAGATCATCTACTGTGAGAGAACAGTGGCTGCAGAAAGTCAACATCAAAATATGAAGCTTAATCTAACATACTAACATTTCAACACATCCCACAGGATTTTCAGGCCCCAAGGTCCGAGTTTTCGAACGTCCTGATATGCCCCGTTTAGAGAAAATGCGCCACTAAGCATAATCTGGACAACAATGACATCAGCAACAATAAACAAGCCAAGGAGTGCCAAAATTTGAGTTACACAAGGATCTCCCTTCAAAATCACCATATGATCATTGAATCCTGCTGAAATACCTCTGTTAACAAGCGTAGATGTTGGCAATGGTTAAATACTCACTAGAAGAAACTACTGTTGATGCCATACCAGATGTCTCGAACATACAGAGTCTGCCATGTACAAGGCCGATTAGAAGACCTCATGTTTGAATTGACACGTCCAGATGGTCCTCGTGGGTAGAGCTGGTTGTGCTTGATGGGTTTCTATGGAATTCGAGACTGAAAACAATATCATGTTAGCAAAGAAGGAAACCGCAAATATGAATTAAAGCAATTTGCTTACCTGAATATCCGCAACATCGGCTAATGATTGACAGGTACCACCCTGGATTTACAGCCTGCCAAATTCCCGAAGTTTGCTGAACATTCGAGAGGCCATCACATTTAGTACGAGTGATAGAATCGCTTGACGAGCGAGGGAAGATGGAGGGAGAAATCGAAGAGGGAAATACCCAGACCACATGAGACTCTGGCCTGCTTCGTGGTGATGCATTGTTATCTTCATTCTCAAGCAAGGATTTCCTTTTCCGGTTTGATATTGATGACCCTGCACAGACTTGTTGAATAGTACTGTGAGTGATATCGGGTCATTCCTGTTTGGATTTTCTACAAAAACTGGATTATCTATAATTGAATTGTTTTCTTCCACACAATGTATGTTTCCATGTACTAAAGCACACTGCAGATGGCCATCGGCGCGTTCTCTTAATGGAGAGAAAACATGGCATCAATAATTCAATGACATGGTCAAGGCTTCCGACATTCACTTGGTTGCGATGGACTTACATTTTGACACCCAGTTCCTGCATCTGATCACTGTGGAGATGACAGTCTCCCTCTGGCTTGTATCATAAATACGGCATTATCAATCCTTGAAAATGAATAAGAACCTTCAAAGTTTTTATTCTGATTTCCTTATAGTTATTCTCATACCTGTTGGTTTTGATATTCTATTTCCGTTGAGATTTTTTGATATAAAAGGAGAGGTGAAATCTGTTCTAAATCCCATCTCCCCATCCTCTTCCTTTCCTTCACTTCTCCTCCTTGTCTCTGCTGTCCGCTCTCCCACTGGTCACAGTCTGCCGGCCCGGGATATTGGCGGCGTGTCCAAGTCCCGTGCTCATGATGCCGGGTTCGTTGATTTGTGGCTCTGTGACTTCTGTCACGCTGACAGTGTTTACTCATACCACCATGTTCAGAAGGTAAGTCATTTCCTGACCATCTTTAACTACCATTTATTTACCCTTTTGCTTAGCTGCTGTTTTCTTTGCTATGAGACCTGTTCCTTCGAGATTAATAAAGGTAAAATGCACCTGAACTTTCAGTTGATGAACGTGGCTAAGGATTGTTTCATAGGCTCTTTTCAGTCGGTGCTAAGTACAGCGTGTTCAAGAGTGTCTGCATGTTTAATGGACACTTCTCAGATGTTGACTCCAGTTCAAGAAGGAGAGTTGGGCGCCCACAACGGCGGTTTCTCTATTGCCTACCTGCGTTCGTTAGGCTGGGAGCTCAGTACGTTTGTTAAGGCTATTGAGTTGCTACCTACTACTATGTAGTGTTAGCTGAACGCGCCCTCCTTCCCTGGACCCCAGACTGCGAACGACGACAACGAGGCTGCTTAAAGGGTACCTGAACCTCAGAGGGTGTTTACAAGGGTGCATTGTACTATGTCTTTCCTTTGTGAAATCCTCTTCCGAAACGATAGATGCAGGATATCACGCTGCCGTTTTTCGAGGATTTTTACTTGTGTAGTGTGGAAGCACAGAATTGTGGGTGTTGTTGTATGGGATTATCCCTGTGGGTCCGGAGATGAGGATAGGGATGGTATCAATGGATTCTCTTCCATCAGGAGATTATGGGTGGTATTTTTCTGGTATGTCCACAATACTTCGCGGAACTTGACACCATCCTCATTTTGGTTACAAGGTGGACGACTATGCCAAAGATCCATATCGAGGGACCAGGCGATTTATTGAGGGATCCTCATACCACAGTAAGTACTAATTCAGTATTTCCCAGCCCTGACAACACTAACCCTGCCCAAGCCAGTTTGACTGTCCCACCCTCGATCCAAACATGTGTCTTAGAGTGTCATATGAGCCATTTTTTGTTTGTGAGACCCCCTACACCGAGAGTCGACTGAGGTAACTTGAGTGGTACTCCCGTATTTTGTGAGTCCTTTCTCTCTATACTAGTCAATGCCATGTTCTTAGTCTACCAACTTGCAGGCCTTTCTTCCTCCCTGCCAGAACTCGAACACAACACATCCACAGCTCCCTCCGCATGAACATCCTGCATGGCGACGTTCTTTAAGAGGGAGATTATAAGGCTGATGGGGGGCAACGAAGATGAGGATATGGCACCGATGGACGATCCACAGTGGCAGACAGTGTTGGGGAAAGTGATTTGGGAGGATGTCATGTGGGGGAGAGAGGCCGGGTATGATGGTGACAATGAGGAGGAGGAAGATGGGTAGGTCATGTAATAGCGTATGTCAAGTGTTTGCTGGTCCTTGTCTTGTGATATCAGCCATGTCCACGTGGCTGTCGATCATTTGCAACTCCGGCGGACAACAACGATGAACGTTTCTGTCTTGTTTGCAGTTAAATCTGACCAGTTTCTGTGATTATCTGAAGGGACCAGTCCAGTAGGCAGTCGTTGCTCACTACCTAGGTTCTGAGAGTTAATAGTGAGTATTATAGCAACATGAGAGTCTCTCCCTTGCATAGTGCTAATCAATTGTGTTAGCAACCAACTTGAATCGACTTAGATCCAACTAGGATCGCTACTCACACTTCGGTAGACGATACTCTAGCAGGTCAAAGGCGAAGAGACAAGTTAACTGCGAACGAGATAGACGCGAAACAAGGAGTTCGATGTTGGGTAGATTAACCCTTAGCCGAAGCTGGGGTTTAAGCCAGCTGAGGCTCTACTTAAATACAATTGGGTGCGCTAATAATAGTACTGTGAGAATGTGTCCGTTGCAATCGCATATGAGTAATCAGGCTGAGTAAAACGAAGAAAAACGGAAAAAAGTGAATAAATCGTAACATTACCCCCTCCTTAAGACTCGTTCGTCCCGAATGAGTCCTCAGACTCCCTGTAGTCATCATCGTTGGAAGATGAATGTCTGGATTTGGAGTAGAAGGACGGGACATCATTGTCTTCGTCCTCATCTGAATACCAGTTTTCATGAATTCGTTGGAGGTTTTGGAGGTTTACCTCTTCCTCTGAGTTGTTATCGTCCATCGCCGTGAAATGGAGGCAGCTGACACTGTTTTCCTTCTGGGACATAGGTTGTCTAGGACGCGAGTCCCCGCCTTTTGCCTTTGTTAATGTGTCAAGCCATTCGTCTAGCTTGTACACTACGCCTGGTCCATTGGGGACGTCAATAGCCGCTGATGAGCCTCAAGGCTCTGTACGCTCAGAATTCGCGGATTTTAGCATTATAATAAATGCCTTGTCCACTTAGCGGACTTTCACTAAAGTCAACGATTGCAATCACGGCAATACCCACTCTTACCGCCAACTATCCTTCCCAGCTCGTATTCCGTATCAATATGCGCCACTTCATTAATGCCGCCAGGCACCTGATTGCAGATCTCACGGATTTAGGACCATCATTGATCGCCCAGCACAGCCATCGATGACCTCAGCATCAAGCGTCATTTAGAAGAATGCCGCAGTCAAAGTACCAACTCCACGGCAAAAGACCTAATACCATGACCTTTCCACTCACTTTACTAAGGCTGTTACAACGCCAAGATAATGCCGCACGCATCTACTTCAGTGTACTACCTTCAGTGTACTTTGCCGCAGCAACACAGCAGCCCAAGAGTCCATATGTCGGGGGAATTCTTTCTGATCACTAAGTCTATACGCGGTAAAACCGTGTGGGTGCTGTTACTTTAGAACTCTGGGAGCACGCGTTTTGTATCATTTCTTACCAATCGATGTACTAAGGACTTACTAAGGACTCGTTTCAAGTATTCTAATTTTATTCCGGACTTGTAGTATAAAAGCTAGTATAGTAGGAGTTGCTAGACAGAAGTTACTGGACACTAGCCATCATCCACGTTATCGACCACCGTTATCGCTTGTACTCGCTAGGAGATAGACAATAACAACATAGTCACTCCAAGTTATACTCTCTGTCACGGCTTTTCTTCTAACGGTATTGGTGTACGCTCATATTGCGCCAATACACGGAATTCGGTGTCCACAACTCGCTTTTATCTTTTAATCCGCCAGCATCGTTTCACTTTCACCAGCCAGGATCGTTTTCATCAGTTTTCACCTTCTACGTCGCCATCGTTTTACCCAGTTCAGTTCAGGATCGTTACGTCCCCGTGTGGACTCAGATTAGGATCGTTATTGCCGCCAGCAGCATCTGTCACGGAATTTCGGTCAACAGCTTCAGTATAGGATCATCAGTCACGGTATTTGGTATCTTGCCGTCAGTTTCAGTATAGGATAGTCTCCGTGTAGACTCAGGATTAGTTTCGTTTTGCCATCAGTTAACCTCAGTATAGTTTCAGTTTCAGTCCAGCCCAGTCCCAGCCATCGTTTTGCCGTCACTAGTTCCCCCTCATATCATCGCCAGCTCGTCTTATCTTCGTTTCACCGCCAGTTTCTCGTTTCTCGACTACAGTCTTCGTTTATTGCCGTCACGGTATTTGTTATCTTGCCAACGGTATTTCTCTTTGACGGCATTTTCTCTAATTCCGTCAACATCGCCCACGGCTTTTACTAGTTAAATTGCCGTCACTTCGTTCACGGTTTGCCGGTATTCCCAGTTATACCGGATTCTGTTCCTTCTCGTCTATCGAGACCCTTCCCGGCTTACAGCCAACGTTTTCTAGTACTCGATCGTTAAGGGTACTACTTCGCTGACTGAAAAGTCGCAGTGTATACTTGCGTTCTTGAGGAATTCATCGCACGGAGGTGCACCGAAACACTCGCACAACAACAAAGCCTTTATTGCCGCTACACGCCATTTGCCGTGAACTCCTCTAGAGTTTTGGTTTTTGCCGTTGCCACGGAAGTTTAGGCTCATCACCGCGATTTCTTCTGAGGGAGCTAGTCGTTCAGAAGAAGGATAAGAGTCTTGTTGGGTGTCTGAATGTCGTGGGTTTGAGCATTTGGAGGAATAAACCATTTCGATATCGGTGACGCAGGGGGTTCCTGGCTCGTGGTACGCCGTAATGGCGTTCGTAGGTATCTTGTTGTCGATCCCTACCCTCTTTCCTTTGTCATTGATTTCCCACTGAATTCTTTGGAGGCGGGCCTCATATTCGTTTACCAACTCCTCCGCATTAGCCATATTAGACCGTTTTACCCAAGAGTTCTCCTCCATTGGGTACCCTTTCCATTTCACCAGGTATTCGGTCACGGTGCGACGGGTTCGTCCACGCCCGACGACCTTGTCTCGCTGCTCCACGATCTCTTCAATCTCATATTCTTCCTCGTCATCGATCAACTCCAGAGGTGGCCTTTCGGGGCGTGGTTGATTGGGGTATGCAGGAGCATGGTATGGGGTTAAGAGGGACTCATTGAATCGGTTGTGAATTTTCCAAGCCGCCAGAAGTTTGAGTTCATAGGCAGAGGCGCCTTTTCTGGCGATGATGGTAAAGGGTCCTACACGTCGATCTCCGAGTTTCTTGGTGGGGCGAGGAAGGTGTAGATTTGTAGAATCCAACCACACCTTATCACCTGCTTGGTATTCGATGGCTTCGCCCTTGTGTTTGTCGTAGGCCCTCTTCATGGATTCAGCCACTCGCTCCAATGACTCTCTCGCTTTCTTCTGCACCTCTTGAATTCCCTGCACTAATTTTGATGCAGCCGGGACGACGTCTGGCCGTTGGGCGGTTTTGATGACTTGTCCATCCCTTCCGAAGACTACTTTAAAGGGGGAGAAGCCCATGGCGGAATGCGTTTGGTTGTTGTGAGTGAAGGCAGCCAGCAACAGCCAATCACTCCAGTCATCCTGCCGATAATTCACGAACATCTTGAGGTACTTCTCAATCTCCTGGTTAACTTGTTCAGTTTGTCCGTCCGTTTGCGGGTGATATGCCGTGGAGGGGTTCCCTGTAACTTGGATGAGGGCGTAAAATTCCCTCATAAATTTGGATACAAAGATTGCCCCCCTATCTGAAATGACCTTTTCTGGCATTACCCCATATGGCACGTAGACGCGGTCACGTAGGATCTTTGCAAACCCGAGGGAGGTAAGCTCCTCGGTGCAGGCGACCAGAATTACCGTTTTAGAGAACCGGTCAACTATGACCAGAATGGAATCGTGTCTCTTAGAGTTAGGGAGCTTAGTGATCATGTCGACGGAGATGTGAGTCCAGGGTCTTGTGGGGACTTCATTTGGATGAAGGGGGGCTTTCTTTGGGTGACGATCTGCCTTAGTCCGTTGACAGACTTCACACCCCTTGACGTACGCTTCCACCTCTCGGTGCATCTGAGGCCACCAGTAGTCTCGTAGGATGAGCTCTTTGGTTTTTTCGATACCAGGGTGCCCCGCCGTTACGTGGTCATGTCGTAGAGCTATGATCTCCCCCCGTAGTCGGTGATCCATTGGGACATAAATGCATCCGTCGTACCAAAGTAGCTCTTGGTCTCGTGTGATCCCCTTTTCGTGATTGACGGAGTCCTGCGATACCTCGATCCCATTTACGCATGTCATGAGTGGCCAACTTGATCTTTTCATGCAGCTCCTCCGTGGTGGGCATTACCAGGGCTCGGAAATGCTCGGGCTTCAATACTACTACATCTTGGTTGTCTCCCTTCCCCTGATCATGATCCGCTCGTCGGGATAGTAGGTCCGCCTTGCGGTTTTGGGCCCCTGGTTTGTGATGCAGGGTGAATTGGTATTCGGCCAATTCTGTTACCCACCGCGCCTGCCGTCGGTTGAGTTTTTGAGGTTTACGGAAGTACTGGAGGTTGGAATGATCGGTCCAAATTTCGAAGTCCTCCTGTGCGCCCATAAGATATTGGCGCCACTCCTCTAGGGCTATCATGATGGCTAGAAGCTCCTTGTCGTAGATTTCATAGTTTCGTTCGGTGACAGATAGGGCCCTAGAAAGAAAGGCCACTGGCCGCCACTTCCCATCCTGCCATTGGGATAACACCACCCCGATTGCCCCCTCACTGGAGTCCGCCTCCACCCGGTACTTTCCATCATCCAACGGTATGGCTAATATCACGTCTTCATGAAAGAGTTCTTTTAACCTTTCGAACGCTTTTTGTTGGGCCTCTCCCCATCTCCATTCAACCTTTCCCGTGAGCGCGGTCAGGGGTTTGACGTGCTTGCTGTAGTCATGAATGAATCACCGATAGAAATTGCAAAAACCTAAGAAGGACTGTAATTCTTGCTTCTTGAGTGGGACGGGCCAGTCCAGTAAACCTGCGATCTTGACGGGGTCCATACGGATCTTTCCTTCGCTAATGATCACCCCCAAGTATTTGGTTTCCTCCACCTCGAATTCACACTTCTCGGCCTTCAGGAACAGTTTGTTGTCCCTAAGTATTTTTAGCACCCTCTGCACGATGCGCCGGTGATCCGCCTTGGTCTTGGAGGCGATAAGTATGTCGTCTAAGTACATGGACACCTCCCCTGCCGCGATGAGGTCTTTAAAGATATCGTTCATCATCCACTGGAAGGTGGTGGGGGAGTTGGTAAGCCCAAAGAACATTACGAGGGGTTCATAGAGGCCGTGATTAGTTCGAAACACCACCTTCCATTTGTCACCCTGCTTAATCCTGACATTGTTATATCCCCACCGCATGTCCAGTTTCGTGAAATACTTCGCTTTTTTCAACCTATCCATCAGTTCCCCAATGAGCGGCAACGGATATCAATTCTTAATGGTCATTTCATTAAGCTT